GACCGCCGTCTCCCACTCTAGAAACGGCAGACTTCGACAGACAGTATTTTAATATACTCGGTTGAACGGTTATCTTTGTTCTCTTAGTACACCACCGAAGCCTCCCTTAGCGAGCCTAGAAGTTGACAGTCTCCGGTAGACGTCACTTCCCTCCTATTGTACCCGAACAGCGTGATTAGCGCCCCGGCATGAACACGTTACACAAGTGGCTTGCTACTGCCCTCTGGGTAGCCTGTTCTCCCCCCTCTGTCAACCCCACTGCAGCCCACCTCCACCCCAGTGTACCTACCTGGGACAAGTGGTAGGCACCCTCAAACTGGCCTCACCTTAAAGGAATTAAAGGATGTGCTTTACCTATACTTTGGTCCTCTACCCCCTCTCCCAACTACAAACACCTCTTGCTTGATGTGGCTATGCACTCCATAAAGTTTCTGCTGCCCACTGTCCTTCTCTTGGCTGCCCCTTACCTGATTGCTCCTTGTAGCTATGAAGCTCTGAGCTCTCCCTCATATCACAGTCTAAAATCAAAGCTAAAGGAAGCTTTAGTGGCTGGGTGGCTGGAGGCCATACCACCATGCGCATCCTACTAGTTTCTGCCCACTACAATCCCCCATGCCTTCATGGGCCTCCCAAGGTTTGTGGCAGATCATCTCTATCAGATGCAGTCAGGGAAAAGCTACCTGGTAGCTCACAAGTCATGGTATTCTAGCAGTAAGCCTACACTCTGTCCTCTGTGTAAGGATGAGGTAGAGGACTTCAAACATGCTATCCTCTTCTGTCCAGCTAAGGCCAGGCAGCACAAAGCCCACCTTCAGGGTATCGATAGCCTGGGTCCCAACGCTCCTGTATGGTACTCAGCCCACTTGATCCTTCAGTCAGCTAATTTTATTTCCTCTACTGCCATGGGCCTTCCACCTGTAATGCCTGCCATTCAAGCGATCACTGCTTCACCCTTCACATTTTCCTCTAGGCCAGCTTTGCCACCCTGTTTTTCTGGTTAAGTGCCTTAGGGGCTCATGGTTCTTACATATTTATCTCTCCTTAGTTAGTTTTGGTTCCTGGAGGCACCTAGGGCCAGGAGTGGTGGGGGGTTTCTTTACTTGTATTTGTTGCTGCTTGGGGCTTATGCCCTGGGAAAGGATTTCTTTACTCTACTTTGTCAGTCATCATGGGCAATGAGGGGAGCTATTTTCCTCCCCTTTGAAGATACTGCTGTGTTGGTTGTTTCCTTGACGTTTTGTGTTGGAATTAATGTTTTTTCTATTGCCATACCGCGAGGTGCATGTACGTTTTTGAACTAGTATATGAATTAAAAAAAAAAAACCCCGTGCCCGGGTACCGTAACCGGCGTTGCTAGTGACATGTTTCATCCTACGAGTATAAAACGTCGCACGAGGGCAAACGATCAGCCTCACTTACGGTACTCGAGTACCGGTAGTCTACCAGTGTTCGCACTGCTGCACGGGCACCTGCACAGGCGAGACAATTGATTCGAGCCACATACTTCTGATGTTCCGAATCGGAGGTTTATCTGTCGATGCGTGTCCGTAATCAAACATTTGACCCCTCTAAGCCTATCAAATGGGTTGTCACTTCGCGAGAAACGATACCTTTCGCCGCCTGTGACTACGAACCTCCAGTCCTAGGCAGGACACCTGTAGAAAAAAGTGTGAAAGAAAAAAAGAAAGGGGGGTTTGCATGCTATGATCGAGTAATGATGTACGGTACCAATAGCATACTCAGCGCACGTACTTTGGAATCCAATTTTCTTGAAGAAAAAAGCAAAAAAAGCCCCTAACTTAACACCATCCCCATTCCCCCCATTCTAGCCAACTTAGCACGCCTAGAAACAAGCGGAGAATCATCATAAATTGGCGCTAGAGATGATGATCTATATTCCTATAGACTCTTAGGCTAAGGTATCCAATACTATGTGGGGTTCTCGTTCTACGCCCCCCGCTAAAGCCAGTTGGTCTATGTGATAGCTTCCCGATTGTGACAGTTTGCTGGGCCTGCTCGAGTGGATGGGACACTTTGCTGTCGAGGTAGGGTAACAAAATAATACAGGCTCCTGACCCCGTTCCTCACCCGCCAGCTGTCGTCCTGCCCCCTCCCTCCCCCTTTGAAGAAGGTAACTTATCATACCATACTGATCTTTTGGGGTCTGGTGTGCTGTTCAGAAAACCCCCCCAAGATTTTTGAATTGCATTGCTCTTGATTGGCCAATTCTATCTCACGATAGCTTCAGGCCTTTAACTTCGAATACGTTCGTCGTTAGTCTACTCTTGGCGGGCATTCCACCTCCTCTACACTTTTGTACCCTTGCCTCTGTACTAGTTAGGCCCATCCGTCTTTGGTTGAGATATTCGGGTTCGCCTGGTAATATATTGAAGGACTATGGCGAAACGAGGTTCCGGTCGTTCTGCCGCGTCCGCCGCACGGACGCCAGCGGCAACCTCAAAGTCCTCGGACCTGGTCTTTAGCCTCCAGGCCGAGGTCTCTCGCCTAAGGCGCCATGTTTCAGTCCTTTCTCGCCGTCTTCATGACTGTGAGAGCGAACGTTTAAGGGCACAGAATGCTCTTCGTTCCCACCCACCACTGCCCCCTCCTCCGCGTCCCAGTTTTGTCGAGTCGTCGCCTTCTCCGGGTGAGCGGGTGGCTAAAGCTGTTGTCGGATCGTCGCTTCCCCGCAGCGTCCACGGGGCCACCGCGCCCCCTGCGGCAGAGGGGGCTGTGGCTGCTACTGGGTCTTCCCGTTCCTACGGCGTGAAGAGAGCATGGTCGGGTTCGGACTCGAAGTCGGCGTCTGTGGCCATTGCAACCATAGTCTCCACCTCGGCGTCATCCGGCCCGCCCACGCACCCCGCGGCTGCCCTGCGGAGGATGGGAAAGAAGCAGCCCAAGAGGCGCCGGATCAAGTTTGATGCCTCGGAACCGGTGGCCTTGCGGAGCCCGGAGGGCGAGAAGAGGGTGGTGGAGTCACGCCTGGAGGAGCCGGAGCCACACTTGTGCCCCGAACGCAAGTTGGATGACGGTAAGATTGTTTGGCGGTGCCCATGCAAGGGCAGTTTTAGTTCGGACCGGTACAATTACGTGCCTGGTTTGCGATACCACTGGGCGCATCACGGGTGTACGGAGATTAAGATGGTCGCGGTCGGATTGGTGGACGATGAGGTTCCGAACGCGCCTTTGGTATGTCGTTATTGCGGGATCAGGGGCGATTGATGGGTTTTGCTGGTATGGTAGCCTTGGTCCAAGATATAGACTGGGGCGTTAGATCTGCTTTGCTCTCTTTTGGGATAGCCCATGTTCTGATCAATCACTGGGCATTCTACGAGATGCTGGTAGTACTTTCCAAATGCGCTACAGGATAGGCGGGATCGGGCCGGCTTGCCCCGCCACGATGCCGTTTGGCTATACGCCGCTGGGTCGGGCCTTTGTTATACCGGTAGTTATAATGGAAATGATTGAAAGTGGGTTTCGCTGTAGGTGCCTCGTGCGATCCACACATGCGCATCACTCGTATCTCTTTCGCTTTTCTGCGGCCTGTGTGCTTGTCTCAACGGCCTTTACCTTAAGACAAACATGGGTTCTTGTTCCGTAGAACCTCGCAACGGCATTCTGCACAACCACACCAACTATCGCCGAGATAAAAATAACTGCATGTTGGCTACCGGTAACCCTGCATAAGCATTCATCCAAGTGCACTTGTATGATAAGCGACATTCCAGGGCCCTAACCCTTCGTGATCCCTTTGCCGATCACACCATGGTCACCGACACAACCGGTGGTTCGTTGCGAGACTCCCCGGGTGCTGCGCTACTAGGGTAGTCTATAGGCTAGACCACAGGGTGGCTGGCAGGATTGTGAGAGTGATTATGTGCGGTTTGAGAGGGGTTTCTTCCTCTTCTTTTCCGCTTTTGTTGGTGGAGGGGGGCGATAATAAGGTGTAAATTTAGGACGGGGGTGGTGGGATGTCAAAGTGCGCTTAAAGGTTGCATGGTGGGTGGGTGGTCAGACGGTGGACTTGGGGAGAGCGATAAATTGAACAGGGCGGCCTGCTTAATTCATCACATCGTACCCAGAAATTTAGAAACTGAAGCAGTTGCACTAGTATGGTACAGCAGACAGGCACCGGTGCTCGTACAGTGCTGCTAGTCCAGTGGAATGCAAAGCACTATCCCTTAAACCGTTTTCAAACACAGGCGCTAAGGCAGTACTAGCAGAGAAGCAGGACCAGCAGCCGAGGATGTAGCTGTAGAGAGTAGTAGTATTTCTTAGTGCAAGGGGGCGTAGGCGGGATTAGATTTACATAGACCCTCCTGTTTCTGTCATGGCCATGCTGGATTTTATGAACTTTGCTACATTCTGAGAACTACTCCACTTGGGATCGGCAGAGTGTTTCCTATCACAATTACTCAAATGGGCTAGTTTTAGACACGGCCGGATTTCTCAGCACTTTAAGGATAGATCCAGCTTTCCTTATTCTGCCCTAACTATTGCCGATCACTATGGTACAGACGAAGGGATTCTGAACCATCTCCGAAATCCAAACCAACTTATGCGCAGGCACCGTGTGGGTGGAGATGGTATGGTATCCATCATGGTGAATGTACTTGTACTCGTGCACCCACCCTACGATATATGATGTCATGTAATAAAAAAAGCAAACTTCCATACGAGTAGAAGAGGTGCGCCATAAAAAGCTTCACGCAACTCCGGTCCGGCTCGCCAAACAACCCTCATCCACCTCCTCCCCATCTCCGTCCTGCCAAACCCTGACAGCATCCCCAACCCTGATTCTTGGCACCCCATCCCCGTTCTTGAGTGGCAAGTGCACAGCGTGCTGTCCGAACAAAACTCTTCCATCAATCCTCCGAGTCTTCGTCAAAGTGACGTAGGGCTCTTCATCCTTTTCCGCCGTTTCTTGATCCACGCAGACCATGTGGCAACGGCGACAGGGGCCGAGGAGCTAGCCTTTCGTCAGTCACCATCCAGCAATCGCAAAAAAGGCTGGGGGGATGTAGCACCCGAAAGTACTCCCGTCCAATCTTCACATGCTTCCAAAAGTCCTCCGCGTAGGCTCTTCTTATCCCAGCGGTTTCGCGGATGACGATGTTCCCACGGAATACTTCGGGTTTTGCTAGCTTTCCGCCGCTACAGCTAATTGTTTCGTTTAGCTTGTCCACGGAACTACTGTTGATTAGGAGGATCGGTGATTCGTTTGATAAGAGTATTGGTGCAAATCTGTCGCCCCCCCCTTGGACGAAGCTCGATTCTTTGAGATGAGGCTTGAAGTGCCGGTTCTCCGAAGCAGCCGGAAATCGCGCGAGGGTGCAGGGGATGCCGATGGCAGAGGTGAAGAAGTCGGTGATGTGCGGAGAAGTGTAAGTTAGAGCTGCGATCTTGTCGCCGCAGACCCGGGATTGGCTGGATTTTAAGGCACAACTTGGTGACGGGGTTAAGGAAAGGGGAACCTTGAGCGGGGCAACGGAGGAGTTGTGGAGGTGGACTACCAGGTACCCGGATGTGGGATCGACCCTAGGGCGGATGAGAGCCATCTTGTTGTATCTAAATAGGGTTAGGAAGGGAGCAATCCGGCGAAATGAAGGAAGGCGTCAAACCTTTTCTGATCAATCACCGATCCAGTGCCCAAGTGTACCAAGCACCACTCTCTATCCCAAGCAAACCCGTGAGGCCGAATTTCCCAGCATTCACCGGGAGGTATCTTGAAACCTCCGCACGACTTGATAGGGTCTAACCCAAGTTAGTAGGTCGTCAACCGACACCATTTGGGAGCCTACAGATAGTCAAACTATCAACCACAGCATCAGGTTTCCCAACCGGCACCAGGAGAGCCGAACTACCAGGCTCCTTATCAATATAAAATTCTTCCAGAAATTTGACAAACACCATCAAATCGTCGATGGTGCTCATAGCCCCGAGTGATACCCTGATAGCGCCAGTTGGTTTCCCGTGCATAACATCCTGCTGATCCCAACACCTATGCCCGGCGAGAAAATTCTGCTCTATTTCCCAGGGTTCAAGGCCAACCGACGCTTCAATACCGCCGGGATTACACAATGCCCCTGTCCGAATATGTATATTCTTAACGGATGCCAGCTTCTCCACCTCCGCATACCCAATCCACGACCCGTCTGCACGTTGCATATTAAAAGCCACTATAGGACCCTGTGTTACGGATGAGGTAATCCCTCCCTGGACATAAATCTTGCAAAGCTTACGCCCATTCCCATGCGTAAGCTCGCCCAGAAGTCCATGAATGACTTGGATGAGTGAGAAAGCATGACGGGAAATATTATCAAAACTACCGTATAATCGCTCGTGGGTGGAAATGGCGGTATCCAACGATAGTATAGAGTGGAAGGCCGAAGTTCCGTCCTCCAAATGCGCGTGGATTGAATCTGCCTTTCTCGCGTGGAAGTTCCCGGCCCTGCTTCCTACTGCGTCAACGGTTCCTCCGCCGAAGTAACGCCGTGACTTGAGTATGTCGGCTGAGTCTTTCCGTATGATCAATGCTCCCAGATCTGGGAATCCAAACATCTTGTAGAAACTTAGTACCGTGAAGTCCGGTGCAGCCCGAGCGTTGCTCAGGTCAAGCGGGGCAGAAGTGACTAATGCGGCGGCATCCAGCAGGGAATACCACCCCGACCGATTATTTCTTAGTTTCGCAGCCCAATCCCTTGGTAACCGTCGCCCCGAGAAGTTGGACTGTGCTGGCCACCCAAACAGTCCCGGTAAATCTTCACATAGTCCCTTCAACCAAATTTCCACCTCTGCATCGGAAGAGAAACAGGTCGCCTCGCTCGCTAGCTCCCGCATCCCAACGAGACTTGTATGGGCATCCAAATGGTATCGGTACTCGAAGCCGCCCTTTTGAGCCGTGAATGCTTCGAGCACCAGCTTCATTCCCGCAGTGGCGTTTGCACAGAAAACGATGTCGAATTGCTCGGGATCGGCATTGAAAAGGCGGAGCACACGGTGTCGGATGTCATCCAATCGTTTGGTGGTCTGTTGAGATGAGGGTGACGGGGAGTGAGGATTGCCGTAGAGGTTCTCGCAGAGTTCTTTGGAGAAAGAGTGTATCAGGGATGTCGCATAGAGGGTTGTTCCGGCATGATCCAGATATGTTACTTCTGAACGAACGATTGGGCAATCAGTCCCAGAAGCTCAACACATAACGGTACACTACCAGCAGGAGAAAGGGCACCTTTCAGCTGAGGATACTCCGTATCTCTCAGCCCTTCTACCGACGGGTTATACCCATTAGCTATTGCCTCCTTCAAAAGAGACTCCCGGCGCGTAACCATGATGTATGTGTTGACCAGTAATGTGTTCTGTAGCTGTCAGGGGGATGTGGTGTGGAGTGGACATGGTACTCTGCTATATTTGAGGATCCGCGAGGATATCGATGCACCGTGAATATGCGGTACGCATGGGGGTGGGGGGGCGGAGCGTTTTAATGAGGGGTGGGGGAATGTACCGGTGCCTGTGCTTGTGGCAGGTCCCGTGCTTAAGCTTTCTAGGCGAGATGATTGATTGCCGAAAAGCTTGTGGCAGGATCCCCAGCCGTGCCGAGACATTCCAGTGCTGTCCAAAATGTTGAATACCGGGACTAACCGTGCCGAGGTTCCCGTCACTGTGAAAGACGCTAGGCGACCTTCAAAGGTTGACGGCACTTCTATGGAGTGACCGACAGCTCAACACAATGGACAGCCCAACACAATCTTTCCTTCCATATCATTGTCTGATACTCTTGTATACCCCATATTTCTGCCACACAATTGCCATGTCTTCTGAAGCTTATTCCAGTATTGAAGTACATATTCAGGATGAAATTCAAAAGCTTAATAGCAAGGAAAGCCCCAACATTACTGTGACAACACATGAGTTTGAGATTCCAAAAGACCATCTTCGCCCATGCTAGAAAGGGTATCAGTCATGTTAGCAGAGGCCAGTACCTTCCCGGAAGTTGACTAAGAATCAAGAACTAGGTCTTTGCTAATATCTTGATAAATTAGACAAGATTGGGATCCTACAGCAATCCCATTATATCAGCAGTTACACAAACTCAATCCTCACTTGTAGCTATTCCAATTCAACAACCCCCAGCTCAAAAGTCAGTGAAAAGTAGACTTATCGATTCCTTATAAGATGAGATGTCCAGAGTATAAGATCCAGAAGCAAAAAACTCTTGATGTTAATAGGAAAAGAGCACATCCAGGAAATAACTTGCAGAATTGGTTTGGTCAATTTAAGAAGAATAAAGAAGAGCAAGAAATTCTTGATATGAATATATATAACTTGAACAAGACCAGTTTCTGAATTGGAATCAGAAGAGACTAATAGGTAGTAACAGGTAAGCCAACCTGTTCTCTATTTATCGCCAGTTCGAGTAACTGGCAGAACTGGTAATAGTTATAGTAACAATAGTAAGTGGAGAAAGTACAGCATTGTCTCCAGTGATTATTATGCCAGCTATACTTCATATGGAGAACTAGTACCTTCAAAGTTCCATCTCAGAGTATTACCTAATTGGTGTATCAGAAACAGGTTATTCAAACAATATGTATACAATAGAGTGGCTCATTTACTTTGAAGCTGCATCATGTCAACATCAATTTTGTGTCTAGTGTCTTCTTCTAGTTAATGACCATGACTCTCACTGGAAGAGAGAGTTCATTCAATTTTGCAATGATCACAAGATCATACTATTTTGCTTCCCTCCTCGCTACATACATCTTTTGCAACTGTTAGATATCGTAGTTTTTCAACCATATAACCACTACTACACTGAAGCTATAGACTTAGTAACTTGAAGTGGATGCTTCAACTTTGACAAGGTAGAATTCCTTGATGCATTACATTTAATTTGATTCTTTATCTTTAAACTTATAACAATTATATCAGCTTTTCAGAAGACAAGGCTTATTCCATACAACCCTAATATTCTCCTTGAAAAGCTTACCTGGGCCAAACCAGTTGATTTGCAGTGAACAATAACTCCTTCCTCATACTCAATCAACGATGAACCTATAACACCTCAAATAAATATATTACTAAAATGAACTGTAAATTCTGTCTTATAACAGCTAGATGCTGGCAATCTCTTACCCTCTACAAATATGAGTATCTACATGTTTGTTAAAGGTAGCCTCACTCAAGTTCAAAGTGGGTCACAAGCCTTCAATGATCTTATAAACACCATATTAGCAGCTCATATGTACTACATGCCAAAAGCGAAGCCAACAGGCAATTCAAAAGAGTGGGGTTTTGTATGCCAATACAGCAAGGTCAACAGTATGTCAAAAGAAACAGGAAACCATTAAGAAACCAGTAGAAAAAACTCAGCAGGCATTGGAGATTATAATAAGAACAGTGGAAAACAAAGTAAAAACCCAGTGGAAAAAGATATCAAAAAAGATGAGGAAGGCAGTACGGGATAGGCACAAGAACCAACAACAGCACAAGCTTTTGTAGCATAGTATTAGATATTCAGTTGAATAGTTTTCATATTAGTATAATAAAAGTTGTGTTAGGCTGTCCATTATATTTAGCTGTTAGGTACTCCATAGGAGTTCCACCTAGTATCTTTCAATGTGACAGGAACCTTGGAATAGTTAGCTGTACAGAGTAAGATGATACTATATGAGTACTAGCTAATGTTTAAAGTGTCTCGAATGGAGGTGACTTACTAAGCTATATCAAGTTTCTCCATCCACATGGGTCACTGAGACTATTTATACCAGACAAGTATGAGGCTGTTGAAGTCTATACTACAGTACAGGAACAAAAGGGATCATCTGATACCCTTTTCATACCAAAAATGGATATTTTTAAATGGATAATTCTTAATGCTGCTTATATGAAAACACTTCAAATCATTTCACCAGCTAGGGAATGACCATCTATACCAACATAGACAAGTAGATGTGTAAGGAATTAATACTGTCTTCATTGTTCATAATTCCATCAACCAGCATGAAAGTGACCTAAATATTTGTATGGGGCTCTATACAAAAAAGTATATGGCAACTAATACCAGAAACTTAAACAATGTTTTCTCCATCACTTTATAATATTTAAGGATTCTGTAGTGTTTTTTATGTTATCTACAGGTTTACTAATGGATGGACAAATTTGCATAGGTTGTCATAAATATTGTATAATGAGAGAGGGTGGTGAGAATAGGCACTTTTAATGTAAAAAGGGTATTGGACAATCCCTTTTGTCCTAGGACTGTAGTTGCCAGGATAAAAGTCACCTGAGTAAGTAAAAGAATTGAGTGTGTTACCATTCACTTAAAAGGTACACCTTGCTTAATACAATACATAACACTCAACCCTGTATGAAGCCAGCACTCAACCCTAATCTAATATCTTTTGAGAAATTTCATCTTCAGTTGTAACAATATTACAAAATTGTTAATATATTAATCTTATCTATCTATAATTATCAGCTGAAGAACTGTGACCATTAAAAGAAACTATTCTTTGCTGTTACAAATCACAATCAAACAAATTGAAAACTATCTTCTATGACAGACCAACTACCTTCTTCAAATGCTGTTACAAATATGCAGCAGCAAAAATTATTCCTGCGTCAGATGCACAGGCAGTGCGTCAGGACGCAAGCTGGAAGAATTTTGCGTCTGGTGCGTCCTGTGCGTCTGGTACTCGGGTGCCAGGTCTGGTTGCGTCTGGGACTCGGGTGCTGGGTCTGGTTGCGTCCTGTGCGTCTGGTACTCGGGCACTGGGTCTGGTTGCGTCCTAGTGCTTATGCTAGGAAGTGCCACATCCAGATTACATCCTGAGCTATACTGACTAGTTAACATTCTCAGATTCCGAGTGATAAATACAGCTGCCAGCCGCTACCGCTTTACCACACCCCTACTACCCACCCGCTACCCGCCCATCCCCCTACCAATTTCCAGCCTGTCCCCATACTAGTGTCCGGCATACTACCTCCCCTGCATTCTGGACTTTGTTGTTTTCTTTACCAGTGCTGGCTGTTCCACTGGGCAAGGTTCTTTGACGCGCAATTCCACAGGCAGCCTTCTGGCGCAGCATTCAATGCTTGGTATCCTCATCCTACTCGACGCCAGCTTTCCAACGGTACCTTTATTGGCTACCCGGCATCAATATTGGTAGAGATACATCCTGTTATGGAAGGGGTTCTTACCCTGGCGGAGTGCTGACTTTGACGCCAGATTCCTCGGGCGGGCTTTGGGCACATCATCTGATACTCCGGAGCCTGATTCTAAGCGATGCCAGCTTTCCAACGGTACCTTGAACGTCTACCCGGCGCCAATAGTGGGAGAGCTACAGCCTGTGATGAAAGTGGTATTTACCTGGTGGAGTTCTGGCAGACGGCTGAGTTTGACACCAGATCGCCTAGGCGTCCTATGGCTGCAGCGGCTGATACTCGGCGGCCTGGTTCTACGCGACGCCAGCTTTCCAACAGTATCTTGAACGTCTACCTGGCGCCAATATTGGGAGAGCTACAACCTGTGATGAAAGTGGTATTTACCCTAGCGGAGTTTTGGCAGACTGCTGACTTTGACACCAGATCGCCC